CGAGCCTGCTGGGCTTGCGCCTGGGATCGACAGCAAGCTGGAAGACGCCTAACGGGGAGGAATGCCGTGCCACGGTGACCGCCATCCTGTTCCAGCCCGAGGCCAGCGGCGACTACACCACCTGAACGCCACTTCATGGCCCTGTTTGCCGGCTGGCGCGTGGCAGGGTACGTGCACGTCTGAAGGAGACTCAAGATGACCAACACCATCGTTGCATTGACCGATTTTTCCGAAGAGGGTGATGCCTGCCTTGACCGATCCGCAAGCCTGGCGGCCTGTCACGGCTGGCGGCTTCGCATCGTGTATGCGGCGGCGAGTGACAAACCCCTCGAGCCAGGCGCACTCGCCAGGCTTGGCCTTTGTTCGCGACAGCTGGCCAGACGCCACAACCTGCCTGTCGAGGCTGCGTCGCACATGGTGATGTCAGAAACCCAGCTCATTGACGCCACCGCTGCGGCGCAGCTTGTGGTGACAGGTTTTGCGCCTGATGCCAGGCCGTCGTGGTTCTGGCGTGACACCGTGATCGACCGGCTCATGCGCAATTGCCATTGCCCCATCCTGATCGTCAGGAAAGCGCAGGACGGGCCTTACCGGAAAATGGTGGTGGGCGTGGACTTCAGTGCGCGTTCCCGGGAACTGGTGAACCGGGCATGCGAGATCTTTGCCGGCACCGAGCTGCATCTGTTCCATGCCATCGGCAGGAGTGATGAAGCGAGGCTGAGGTCTTCTGATGCATCGGTCGAGGCCATCAAGGCGTATCGGCGACAGGTGAATGCGACTGCCGAGGATCGGCTGTTTCGCCTGGCCGACTCGCTGGACACCCGCCGGAATCGCGTGATGTTTTTTGTGGGCTATGGCGACACGGCGTTGCAAACTTCAATACAGCAGGAAGCGGTGTCGGCCGACCTCATTGTGGTGGGCAGGCAGCGCCAGTCTTGCCTGCTGGAGATGTTTTTTGGCAGCGTTTCCCGGCGACTGGTGCGCATCTCGGGCTGCGATCTCCTGATTGTTCCCCAGCGTGCCGAGCGCATGTACACGGCGTGAGCCATCATGCCCACGGTCATTGAATCGCACCCGGGTGATGGCCATGAACGATGGCGTCCGCACTGGAGGTTTTGCTTGTCACCCACAGCGTCTGGGCAAGGCAGCGAAAAATCCAGTGCTATAATCCTAGTTGTCGAACAGACTTTCAGGCGCG